AACACGGCAATTGTCCTGTTGTTCACGCGTGGACTAGTTAGACCTGGCTAAAACAAGGCAAGATTTCAAAAGCTTTTGTCGCGAGAATAGCTGAGGCGAATTATTCACAAATAGAATGCTATCCATTTATGGAGGGTCAATTATTGTCGTATTATATAAAACATTTTTCTTTTCATTTATAAAAAGGATTTTAATGGAATTTAAATAAAAAAATTTGTACAAGATGAAAACAGTTGTGTTCGGTGCAAGAAAACTAGAGCTTTAGAAAACAAGCGGTCCACATATCTAGTTGTGGTAGATGAAGTAAACTTTTGATGAACTAATAGAGTGTCAGAACTAATTGATTACCATGAGAGTTCAGTAATACTATATATGTCCACTGACCAATATTACAGACTTCTAACGGTCGTTGACCCTAGTCTTCATTTTGTCAGACTGCAGACGTCTGTTTAATGAGATTATTTAAAAGCAGCTCAGAAAAACGTGTTCCTATCTGAGCAATTTGTATTGCATGTAAAGAGTCCATGATGCTTTTGTTGAAATCAGATAATGATGCTAGAGTATCAAAGCTATTAGGATAGTTAGCAAGAATGGCGTGTTTTTTAGAGTTCACGTAAAAATAAACTCATTTAGTGAGCCGGGATCGGCCAGGTAAAGCTCATGGCTGCTAAACCAAAATGTCCCGAGTTCTATTCATGGTGACACGCATTACTTGTGTTGAAAGAAATCATGTGCAACAGTATGATTAATTAAGAACTACGTAAAATAAAAAAGAATTACAGTCAAAACTTTAAAGTTTCTTAACTAAGATAAATTACAATGATGATTTTAGTTTTTTCCTACAACGTACACTCCCATCAACATGTGAAAAGCTATAACTTAGTTGGATGGCCAGGACAACTTAGTATCATAAAACTAGTGTTGAGATTCAGTGAGCTAACACCATGGCTTCAACAAGTGACTAAAGTACAGCCTGTCTACGGCCGTATTTCCTCATTGGATCTCTTTAATCATAGCCCGTCTCCCTGCAGCCAAAGGACAGCTCACTTTGGTCTACTGTATCGAGCTGGTGAAGGCTGCGGGACATTAGACTTGTAATCAAAGTCGTGGGTGAGTCAAGGTATCCTAATCGTGATGAGATAAGAGTTAACCAGACAGGCATAGGCTAGGTCAAAGGTATGGATGAAAAGTTGACCAGACAGGCATAGGCTAGGTCAAAGTTATGGATGAAAAGTTAACCAGACAGGCATAGGCTAGGTCAAAGTTTTAGATGAAAAGTTAACCAGACAGGCATAGGCTAGGTCAAAGTTTTAGATGAAAAGTTAACCAGACAGGCCTAGGCTAGGTCAAAGGTATGGATGAAAAGTTAACCAGACAGGCATAGGCTAGGTCAAAGTTTTAGATGAAAAGTTGACCGGACAGGCATAGGCTAGTCAAAGGTATGGATGAAAAGTTAACCAGACAGGCATAGGCTAGGTCAAAGTTATGGATGAAAAGTTAACCAGACAGGCATAGGCTAGGTCAAAGTTTTAGATGAAAAGTTAACCAGACAGGCATAGGCTAGGTCAAAGTTTTAGATGAAAAGTTAACCAGACAGGCCTAGGCTAGGTCAAAGGTATGGATGAAAAGTTAACCAGACAGGCATAGGCTAGGTCAAAGTTTTAGATGTAAAGTTAACCAGACAGGCATAGGCTAGGTCAAAGTTTTAGATGAAACGTTAACCAGACAGGCATAGGCTAGGTCAAAGTTTTAGATGAAAAGTTAACCAGACAGGCATAGGCTAGGTCAATGTTTTAGATGAAAAGTTAACCAGACAGGCCTATGCTAGGTCAAAGGTATAGATGAAAAGTTAACCAGACAAGCCTATGCTAGGTCAAAGGTATAGATGAAAAGTTAACCAGACACGCATTGGCTAGGTCAATGGTTTGGATACCAGACAGGCCAAGGCAACGTCAGAGGTATGTATGAAAAGTTGACAGGTCTAGCCACCCCCCCCCCCCCCACCATCGTCACAAAACGCCAGACCCTACTCACCACATAAAAAATTTCGTTAAGCTTCAACCCCCCCCCCCCCTCCCACGTATTGAAGTTTTTTTTGTTTTTTTAACAGATTTGTTTCTAAAATATTTACTGAGCTTGGCCAATATTGAGTATGTTGATCAATTGAAACAAAATAATTTAAAACAAAATCTTTTTTAAAATGCGCAGAAAAAAAAACCTGTTGAAATTCGGTATCTAACACACCTTTTTAATATACATAAGTGTCCCCTCCCTTGTTTCACACCTTCACACAGTCCTAGCCCACCCTCTTATGCGTGTGATGTCATGTGTGGACCACCCCTTCCCTTTACATGTTATTCCTTTGATGAAACACCAGCAAACGCGACAACACCACGTAAGCTATCCCCCTACAAAGATAAAACAGTTGTGTGTGTACATCATTGTTCTGCAATGCTCCAGTACAACCGTCTGTTGATTCAGTGACTCGCCATTAAAACATTTGTCAACTAGAGACTGAAGCTAGGATCGAATTGCTATACCAGCGGTGACATGCTGATGGGGGAAAAAATAATGAAGTTTATATTTAGAAAATAATTACTTGGTCGTGAAGAAATGATTGAGTAAAGGCCCTACAGGGAGATCGTATCATCGATAAGGTCGATACAATTTTGGTATCGATACAAGCGGTGAAGTGAGTACAAAGCGTTACACAAAGTTGAGATTTTGTAAACAACCTCAGGCGTTAATGTATCGTGAAGTACAGAAATTAAGAGAACAGACTAGTACAGATGTTCTAAATCCTTTGGGCTGACTTAAATGAAAATTATGTTAAACTGCAAGGCCTGTTCATTTTTAATAAGAAAAAAAAATTAATGATCCGACTGTATAGTATAATACATCAAATTTACGCTTAAGACATATACTGCAATCAAAGCCGTTATATATCGTACATGTATTTCTAAACATCAACAACCAAACAACTAGTTCTATATAAAAGACATTTGGATAAAGTATGCAATAAATAGTAGACCTACATTTGTCCCTTGCTCCACCAAACTAAACAGCAAGTCTCGGATAAAGGGTAAAATTAATAGTAGACCTGTATTTGTCCCTAGTTCCACCAAACTAAGCAGAAAATCTTGGATAAAGGGTAAAATTAATAGTAGACCTGCATTAGTCCCTAGTTGCACCAAACTAAGCAGAAAATTCTGACATCTCACGTAGGGCTTAATCAAGTAAATTAAACCCACGTCATCAAGACGAGCTAGCCATACCAGCAGAGCTCCCGCCCATTGCCCGGTTCATGCCGTGATCTGTCTACATGTCTCATGGTTCCAATCCTCTTCCCAGAGATTTATGTAACATCGATCAACATGGTATTAAATCACATCAGGCTTACCCCTCAAGACTAATGAGGATTAGCCGTGTAATCCGCTCAGTGTTATCTATGTAAACGGCAGATCAGTGAGTACACAATGAATGGCTGTGTCGGTAAGCTGTAGCTAGGCGCTCACTAGCTCTGCGTTAGATCTATTTCAGGTAGCCCCAGACAAGTTTATTACAATCAACTAACCACATTTCTGTACTAAAGAAAGCTGCTCATAAGTTATGTCACTTAACGTCTAAACTGGGAGGGTTTAGGTATGAGTGTGAGTGTGTTGGGGGGGGGGGGGGAGGTCTGATTTTTCTAGACGGATGGGCTTAAGTAGGGGAGGGAAAGAAGATGGCGTATATTATACAATTAGCATTTCATTTGTTTTTAAAGTAAAAAAAAATATGCAAATTTACGCTGAGGGAGGGAAGGGGTTGGAACTTAGCAAGTAGTTTTAATGTTGTCTTTTAACAGGTGTATTATAGTATTCAGGTGGGGACCGATGAGCATTGAGTTACGCGATTTAACACAAAACCATAACTAACGAAACTTATTTCTAACCACGGGCTCAATGGCCCAAGATAAAAAAAACAGCTCATTAAAATCTTAAAAACTAATTTATCGATGAAAATCTATAGTTTGATCAGTGTGTGTGTACCGCTGCAGTGAAGGCCACACGAGTGTATGCAACCCTAGCCCTCCCTACCTGTAACAGGTGGCCGATTCATTACGTGCAGGCCTTTAACCACACGGCCATTTAGCTGTCTTCAAACACATAACTAATGGGATCAAGACTTTACAAGACGACATATGCTGCAGCGTAGTTTAGATTATCTAAACACAGTCAAAACATGGAGGTCGGATAACAGTCAGCAAGACATGTGTTTAGAACAGTGGTTCTTAACCTCTAGAACAGTGGTTCTTAACCTCTAGAACAGTGGTTCTTAAACCTTTAGAACAGTGGTTCTTAACCTTTTTGGAGGTACCGAACCACACCAGTTTCTAATCAGCATTCATCGAACCCGTATTAAAAGGTCTATCGTCCGCACTGACAAAATCCGATCGCGAATCATATAAGTCGGGTATGTGTCTTGACCTCAGTTGAACCCTGTGATTGACTAGTCGAACCATAGGGGTTCGATCGAACCCAGGTTGAGAATCAATGGTTTAGAACATAGAACATGTGAAACTACAAAATGTTTAGTAAGAAAAAGATAAAAAATGTAGTAATAAAATCAATGGATGTATATGGAACGTTTTAAATTCTTAGTTTGAAAGGATTTTATTTCTTCACCCCCTCCCCTCTTTATTTGAGTATTCTGATGTAACAGGCCTTAGGATAGATTCAAAGCCAACAGGAAAAAAAATAAAAATAAAACGTGCTTTATTCGAATTGTTATTTATATAAATCATTTGCAATGTATGTGTGTTGATTCAATTCAAACAAATATCCACACCAACGGGTTGCTCAAATACTAATATGTTGGGCTCATGTGTGAAATTTGATTTAAAAAAAAATGGAATGACTTAAACCCATTGTTTTTGTTTAAATTAAAAACTTGTGTATATACTTTGCTTAAAAATATCTTTGAGCTGCAATGTTATATAAGATAAAATGCGGGCTGACCTTTACCTCGCTCAGCTCGGCACATACTCGGTTGAAAGCTTCTAACCAGCGAGATCTGGCCGGGGAAGACATGCGGTGTGCATCAGAGTCGGATTTTTCAAACGTGTCGAATGAGCTTTCTTTGGTGCTTTCTCGGCTGATGTTGGATGATGACACGTGACTATTCACAGGACTGTGGAGTTGAAAGAATAATTTCTTTTCTTACGATACGGAAGTTGCCTCGTTGCAGCCATGTTTCAAGGGACATAAATCGTGATATTTTTTACAATGCATTATTCATACAAAATATTCTGGATTACTTCCCTTTAATATCAAATGACCAGTTTTTTAAAAAAAAATTCCTTTTCTCTCACTCTACCATTCAACTGAGAAAGCAAACACCAAAGATGATCCTACCTATAATCTTGAGTACTCTGACGGCTCATGATTAGAGATGAATGATGACTTAGGACAGGGCTGGAACGAAATACGTTTCTGTTTATTTAATATTGAAAAAAAAAAACAAGTTAGTGTTGCAGCAAGTATGAGGGCAGGTGCATCTACAATACAGGAACTTCTGGGTAGTCTTCTCGTTTGTCTATCTGGCATGATTATACACATGTTATTTACATGACATGATAATTTATTGAAAGGCAGGAGACACGGCATGGTACTTTAATTAGAACCTCTTTATCTTACGTATTTAATTAACATGTGTTGTAATATTATCCTTGGTGTATACGATGATTGATGAAGCGCTTACGTGTATTAAAGTGTTAAACGCTATACTTAACTCCAAGGGGACGTCATTGAACTGAATATAAACAGCGTAGTGTAAGCTAAAATTTGGGATTTCTTTGGTACCAGATGTAATTTGTAAAGTACAGCTTTAATGATCTGACCAAAACATTTTTCTAGGGCGATTAATACGGATTTTTTAATGGTGTCGTAGTTATCTAATAACGGATATCTGTATTATTAACTTTTTAGGATATAAATACAGAACACCATCTTTAAATTGAATTCTAGACTACCTAGAAGCAAAATGTTGCATTCAAAATACTATTGCTATCTAATTCTAAATTAACGTTGTAAAAATGACATACTATCCAGAGTGAGGTAGGCTATATATATATACCTCAGTGAGAGGTATATATATATATATATATATATATATATATATACATATACATATATATATATATACACACACACACACCATATATATATACACACACACACACATATATATATATATATATATATATATATATATATATATATATATATATATATATATATATATATATATATATATATATATATATATATATATATATATATATATATATATATAGATAGATAGATAGATAGATATTATCATTCTTTGAGAAGATAAATAGATGTTTTAGATATCTTTTATCACGAGCCACCCAACTTTGCCAGCCTTTAATAGCACGTTTAATGAAGTTTAATATGTAGATGTTGGCAGTAGGCTAGAATGAAAACAGCTTTCACATATCCGCTTCAAAGTGCCGTTGTGGTGTCCCGCTCTGTCATCACAGGCAAGATAAAGCTAAGAGGTAACATTAGATGATAAAACCATCGGCCGTGTGGGCCGTCTGTGATTCAATGGCAGCGTCAGGCTTCATGCCGGAACTCTTTGATTTATGGAGGGGAAGGGGGGGGGTAGCCCTGTTATTACCTTTTGTTGCTACTGTCATGTAATGGGGAGAGTGGTTTGATTGTACAAGTGTGGTTGTGTACACAGTAGTGGGGAGAGTGGTTTGATTGTACAAGTGTGGTTGTGTACACAGTAGTGGGGAGAGTGGTTTGATTGTACAAGTGTGGTTGTGTACACAGTAGTGGGGAGAGTGGTTTGATTGTACAAGTGTGGTTGTGTACACAGTAGTGGGGAGAGTGGTTTGATTATACAAGTGGTTGTGTACACAGTAGTGGGGAGAGTGGTTTGATTGTACAAGTGTGGTTGTGTACACAGTAGTGGGGAGAGTGGTTTGATTATACAAGTGGTTGTGTACACAGTAGTGGGGAGAGTGGTTTGATTGTACAAGTGTGGTTGTGTACACAGTAGTGGGGAGAGTGGTTTGATTGTACAAGTGTGGTTGTGTACACAGTAGTGGGGAGAGTGGTTTGATTGTACAAGTGTGGTTGTGTACACAGTAGTGAGGAGAGTGGTTTGATTGTACAAGTGTGGTTGTGTACACAGTAGTGGGGAGAGTGGTTTGATTGTACAAGTGTGGTTGTGTACACAGTAGTGGGGAGAGTGGTTTGATTATACAAGTGTTTGTGTACACAGTAGTGGGGAGAGTGGTTTGATTGTACAAGTGTGGTTGTGTACACAGTAGTGGGGAGAGTGGTTAGATTGTACAAGTGTGGTTGTGTACACAGTAGTGGGGAGAGTGGTTTGATTGTACAAGGGTGGTTGTGTACACAGTAGTGGGGAGAGTGGTTTGATTGTACAAGTGTGGTTGTGTACACAGTAGTGGGGAGAGTGGTTTGATTGTACAAGTGTGGTTGTGTACACAGTAGTGGGGAGAGTGGTTTGATTGTACAAGTGTGGTTGTGTACACAGTAGTGAGGAGAGTGGTTTGATTGTACAAGTGTGGTTGTGTACACAGTAGTGGGGAGAGTGGTTTGATTGTACAAGTGTGGTTGTGTACACAGTAGTGGGGAGAGTGGTTTGATTATACAAGTGTTTGTCTACACAGTAGTGGGGAGAGTGGTTTGATTGTACAAGTGTGGTTGTGTACACAGTAGTGGGGAGAGTGGTTTGATTGTACAAGTGTGGTTGTGTACACAGTAGTGGGGAGAGTGGTTTGATTGTACAAGTGTGGTTGTGTACACAGTAGTGGGGAGAGTGGTTTGATTGTACAAGTGTGGTTGTGTACACAGTAGTGGGGAGAGTGGTTTGATTATACAAGTGTTTGTGTACACAGTAGTGGGGAGAGTGGTTTGATTGTACAAGTGTGGTTGTGTACACAGTAGTGGGGAGAGTGGTTTGATTGTACAAGTGTGGTTGTGTACACAGTAGTGGGGAGAGTGGTTTGATTGTACAAGTGTGGTTGTGTACACAGTAGTTGGGAGAGTGGTTTGATTGTACAAGTGTGGTTGTGTACACAGTAGTGGGGAGAGTGGTTTGATTGTACAAGTGTGGTTGTGTACACAGTAGTGGGGAGAGTGGTTTGATTGTACAAGTGTGGTTGTGTACACAGTAGTGGGGAGAGTGGTTTGATTATACAAGTGTTTATGTACACAGTAGTGGGGAGAGTGGTTTGATTGTACAAGTGTGGTTGTGTACACAGTAGTGGGGAGAGTGGTTTGATTGTACAAGTGTGGTTGTGTACACAGTAGTGAGGAGAGTGGTTTGATTGTACAAGTGTGGTTGTGTACACAGTAGTTGGGAGAGTGGTTTGATTGTACAAGTGTGGTTGTGTACACAGTAGTGAGGAGAGTGGTTTGATTGTACAAGTGTGGTTGTGTACACAGTAGTGGGGAGAGTGGTTTGATTGTACAAGTGTGGTTGTGTACACAGTAGTGGGGAGAGTGGTTTGATTGTACAAGTGTGGTTGTGTACATAGACAGCTAGTAGTGAGGAGAGTGGTTTGATTGTACAAGTGTGGTTGTGTACACAGTAGTGAGGAGAGTGGTTTGATTGTACAAGTGTGGTTGTGTACACAGTAGTGGGGAGAGTGGTTTGATTGTACAAGTGTGGTTGTGTACATAGACAGCTAGTAGTGAGGAGAGTGGTTTGATTGTACAAGTGTGGTTGTGTACACAGTAGTGAGGAGAGTGGTTTGATTGTACAAGTGTGGTTGTGTACACAGTAGTGGGGAGAGTGGTTTGATTGTACAAGTGTGGTTGTGTACACAGTAGTGAGGAGAGTGGTTTGATTATACAAGTGTTTGTGTACACAGTAGTTGGGAGAGTGGTTTGATTGTACAAGTGTGGTTGTGTACACAGTAGTGGGGAGAGTGGTTTGATTGTACAAGTGTGGTTGTGTACATAGACAGCTAGTAGTGGGGAGAGTGGTTTGATTGTACAAGTGTGGTTGTGTACACAGTAGTGAGGAGAGTGGTTTGATTGTACAAGTGTGGTTGTGTACACAGTAGTTGGGAGAGTGGTTTGATTGTACAAGTGTGGTTGTGTACACAGTAGTTGGGAGAGTGGTTTGATTGTACAAGTGTGGTTGTGTACACAGTAGTGGGGAGAGTGGTTTGATTGTACAAGTGTGGTTGTGTACACAGTAGTGGGGAGAGTGGTTTGATTGTACAAGTGTGGTTGTGTACACAGTAGTGGGGAGAGTGGTTTGATTGTACAAGTGTGGTTGTGTACACAGTAGTGAGGAGAGTGGTTTGATTGTACAAGTGTGGTTGTGTACACAGTAGTGGGGAGAGTGGTTTGATTGTACAAGTGTTTCCATTTCTTTCGTAGGTGTAACTTGTGCATGAAAGGTGACTTAAAACCAAGTTCATTATCAGGCCAAATTTGGAATTTTGGGCCAGAAATTGATGCGCATTCAGTTTAAAGTTGATTTTAGACTAGATCACCTTTTAATACTTTTATTCCTGAAACTTACTCGATAACCAAGTGTACCATGAATATTTAATACTACTAAATTACTATTAACTATTACACCAATGTAATCGCCAAAGAAAACCTTTATACGATGAGTAGTTTATATATTGGATTTGGTGTAAAACGAATTGTTATTACAAATTAATGATGTATATAAATGTGTCTAGCTACATTAATAATAATAGCTAGTCTATTCTAAGAATTAAAAAAAAAATCAAATTAAAAAAAAAAAACATTTTTTGTTTAAAACTTAAGGGTTAAGAATTTCTTTCTTAAGGGCGACTCTATGTGTCAGCAAGGACGTGCACAGAAACTTGAAGAAAATCAAACTAACATTCTCTAAGCCCCGGAGAATACACTAGAGAAGAATAAGCTACACCTCAAATAGCTCGCTGAGGAAACATTACCTTACAGCAACGTTGCCTTGCACTTGTATAAATGTCATTTATGTAAGTGAATAATCTCAAAGGAACCTCTACCAGCATTATTTACAACTTAAGAACATGAAGTGTGAGAAAAAAATATATACACAGACTTAAAAAAACAATTCATGAACTTAATTAAAGACAAAGACATTACCTGTCTTGAATGAAAGACTGGGGTCTGCTATTTGGGCGACTGTTATAGAAGAGAATATCCGAGTCCGTATCACTGCGCCCGTGGTGATACGGACCTTCGTTTTGGTAATAGTTCTGATCCTGATCATAGCTATAATCCCTTTCAAAGCTTCGATTCCTATGGTAGTCCTGATCCTCCCGATCATAATCCTCGTCGCCGTATTGTTCAAATGAGCGTTGGTCAGGGGAATGTTGATCTAGAGACCGCTGGTCGAACGACTGGTCAAAGCTGTCATCGTAGCGGATGGTTTCCCGGCTGTCGTCCCGTAGACGGTACGGATGGTCCGGATGGTTGCGGTACTGGTGTGCGGAGGTGTTGTGCTGGTGTTGAACGGGGTAGTTGATGTCGCTGGTGTAGTCGCTGTCTTCAGACATACCAGCTGGGGGATATGTTGAGAAGAAAGTTCATCTACAATTATACACACATACCCACAGACAGTCGGGTGTTGTATTATGCTATGTTGAGAAGAAAGTTCATCTAAAATTATACACACATACCCCAGACAGTTCGAATGTTCAACATTTATTACATGTATTGTAATATGTTATGTTGAGAAGAAAGTTCATCTACAATTATACACACATACCCTCAGACAGTCGGGTATACAACATTCATTACATATATTGTATTATGTTATGTTGAGAAGAAAGTTCATCTACAATTATACACACAATTATACACACATACCCTCAGAAGGTCGGGTATACAACATTCATTACATGTATTGTATTATGTTATGTTGAGAAGAAAGTTCATCTACAATTATACACATACCCCCAGACAGTTCGAATGTTCAACATTTATTACATGTATTGTATAGTGAGTTTAAACATGACATGCTAAACGATCTAAAGAGATGCTCTGCTTTATGTCCCCACGTAGCTTCCACACAAGAAGCTAACTCGAGTCAGGAAAATTGAATGCGTCAAGGCAACATACTGACCACACACATTTTTCACATGCCTCGAAACATAAACTCTACTTCATATACACTTATACATGATGGAATAATAATGGAAAGAGCTGTTTAAAAACGCTAAAAAGTTGAAGTAGTATCTCTTGAGTGTAAATAAGCTTCAGAACGAGTGGGGGATTACAAACATAATACTTGTCAAACTATTTTAGTATAGACGTGTGTGTAGTGGCACCATTTTTCATTTGTCTTAATTTTTTTCGTGTGACAGAAAGCTAGTCCAAAAACAAAATCACTTACATTGTGCATAGGAAGGTGGACGCGGCGTATCTTGAGCTGCAAGCATCTGCAAAAGACAGACATATAATATATGCACTCACGTATTAAGTTTAATTTTTATCTGTTTATAGCTACATCATGTGAAATATCGTATACAGTAAAAACTCAATATTAATGTGACTAAGACGTATGCACTGATCTTAGAATGTCTTTAGTACTGTCCCCCTCTTGTTCCCCTTACCCCTTTAAGTATTGTATACAATCTTCTGAGAGCACATTACTTGGATCTATGAGGCTGTAAATTTAATTCTCTTCAAATATAGACATGCACCAAAGATAAAGTCAAAGACGTGGTGGTCCAGACTAAGTCCACACCAACCATCACTTTGATGGACTACGTGTCAAGTCCAGAGAAGTTCTTAATCTCTTGTAAAAATAAATATTAAAAAACAACATCCCGGAAGTAGTGGGTTTCTCTTTTCCTTTTTACTTTCTCGTATATACGAAGTATAGAGAAAGTCTTGTAATCGTGCAAAAAAAAAAAAATCGAGATTTTTACAAATCTCGACGTTTTACACCTCACTGATACGGAAAAACATAATTTTGCAATCTTGTCCGTATGTCTGTGTGTCTGCGTGTCTGTCTGTCCGTGTGTAAACACGATAACTTGAGTACCGTTACAGCTAGGTTGATGAAATTTCATATATAAGTATTTTATCAAAATCGTAGATCCGTATCAACTTTTGAGCGATTTCCGATAACCGGAAGTGGTACTTTTCCTACTTTGAATTTTTCAAAAGCCTATAACTTGAGTACTATTTCAGATTGATAAATGAAATTTCACATGTAAGTAAAAGATCTAATTCTCTACCTTCTGTTAAATTTTGAGTAATTTCCGTTGACTGGAAGTAGTAATTTACGCTGCTTCCGATTTCTCAAAAAACTAATGTAAATTTTAAGTACTAATAATATTGCGCACTATTATGCGCTTTTTTATTTGGCGTTCACTTGGTGTGCAATTAATTTGTCTACGAGATTTTATTCTATTTTTAAAACTTTAAGTATTTAAAATGGATTAAAAATCATGTCTATAGCCCGAGTTCCCATCCCCTGTTATTTTATATAAGAATATTCGAGAAAGTTTAGGGGAGATCACTCCCGGTTTATTTTTCCTTGTGTGGCAAAGACTTCAATGAGAATTTGTGTAACCTTTGTGTTGAAGAGGATTATAACTAAGCATAGTGTTTGGGGATTCCCGATAAAATGTACACCACCATTAAGATAGGCTTTACAAAGCGACTGTAATGTCAAGAATCACGTAGTACACATGACAGGGAGATAAAAATAGCAAACTCGGCATGTTTAATAGTTGGCATTCAGACAGGATTGGTAGTAACGTTTTCTTGCAATAAGTATTGGAATGGAATATTTTACATGTTTATTTTCACACAAGTTGTCATGACCTACTGACGCCACTAGATATATATATATATATATATATATATATATATATATATATATATATATATATATATATATATATATATATATATATATCAGATACAGGAAATATATTCAGATATTGACGCAGCTAGATTGATATATCTGAGGAAGTATATTCAGATATTGACGCCACTAGATTGATCTATCTGAGGAAATATATTCAGATATTGACGCCACTAGATTGATCTATCTGAGGAAATATATTCAGATATTGACGCCACTAGACTGATCTATCTGAAAAAATATATTCAGATATTGACGCCACTAGATTTATCTATCTGAGGAATATATTCAGATATTGACGCCACTAGATTGATCTATCAGATACGAGGAAATATATTCAGATATTGACGCCACTAGATTTATCTATCTGAGGAAATATATTCAGATATTGACGCCACTAGATTGATCTATCAGATACGAGGAAATATATTCAGATATTGACGCCACTAGATTGATCTATCAGATACGAGGAAATATACTCAGATATTGACGCCACTAGATAAATCTATCTGGAGGAAATATATTCAGATATTGACGCCACTAGATTGATATAACTGAGTAAATATATTCAGATATTGACGCCACTAGATTGATCTATCTGAGGAAATATATTCAGATATTGACGCCACTTGATTGATCTATCTGAGTAAATATATTCAGATAATGACGCCACTAGATTTATCTATCAGATACGAGGAAATATATTCAGATATTGACGCCACTAGATTGATCTATCTGAGTAAATATATTCAGATATTGACGCCACTAGATTGATCTATCTGAGGAAATAGATTCAGATATTGACGCCACTAGACTGATCTATCTGAAAAAATATATTCAGATATTGACGCCACTAGATTTATCTATCAGATACGAGGAAATATATTCAGATATTGACGCCACTAGATTGATCTATCTGAGGAAATAGATTCAGATATTGACGCCACTAGACTGATCTATCTGAGTAAATATATTCAGATAATGACGCCACTAGATTTATCTATCAGATACGAGGAAATATATTCAGATATTGACGCCACTAGATTGATCTATCTGAGGAAATATATTCAGATATTGACGCCACTAGATTTGATCTATCAGATACGAGGAAATATATTCAGATATTGACGCCACTAAATTGATCTATCTGAGGAAATATATTCAGATATTGACGCCACTACATTGATCTATCTGAGTAAATATATTCAGATATTGACGCCACTGGGCTAGCCATCTGACTCTGGTGTGCCGGCAGACGACAGCTGATTGGTATCACGCACATTAACACTGCACGCGACTACCAGCCCCTCAGAGACCAGACCGAAGAATTCGACATTTTTGTTTTTTACTTTCTCGTATATACGAAGTATAGAGAAAGTCTTGTAATCGTGCAAAAAAAAAATCGAGATTTTTGCCAATCTCGACGTTTTGCATCTCACTGATACGGAAAAACATAATTTTGCAATCTTGTCCGTATGTCTGTGTGTCTGTGTGTGTGTGTGTGTGTGTGTGTGTGTGTGTCCGTGTGTAAACACGATAACTTGAGTACCGTTACAGCTAGGTTGATGAAATTTCATATATAAGTATTTAATCAAAATCGTAGATCCGTATCAACTTTTGAGCGATTTCCGATAACCGGAAGTGGTACTTTTCCTACTTTGAATTTTTCAAAAGCCTATAACTTGAGTACTATTTCAGATAGATAAATGAAATTTCATACGTAAGTAAAAGATCTAATTCTCTACCTTCTATTAAATTTTGAGTCATTTCCGTTGACTGGAAGTAGTACTTTACGCTACTTCCGATTTCTCAAAAAACTAATGTAAATTTTAAAAGTAATAATAATATTGCGCACTATTATGCGCTTTTTTATTTCGCGTTCACTTGGTGTGCAATTAATTTGTCTACGAGATTTTATTCTATTTTTAAAACTTTAAGTATTTAAAATGGATTAAAAATCATGTCTATAGCCCGAGTTCCCATCCCCTGTTATTTTATATAAGAATATTCGAGAAAGTTTAGGGGAGATCACTCCCGGTTTATTTAAAAGGCGAGCACAAAATGCTCCCCTTTCACGTCACCTCAGTCCCACGCCGACCTTCGAGTAAGACATTTCGATGATCAAGTAGGTGTTAAGCTACAGAAGATTCAGGCAGAAATTCGATTTGCTGAAAGTAGTTCGGTTGAACTCGATTTCACCAGAGAGTTGTAAAAAGCAGTCAAAGGAGAGCAGAACTAAAACCATGATAGAAGGAACATACACTACATAAGGTGTACAACTTTTGGGGAGAATAGCTCAACACAAGCACGATTATATTACTGATACAAGCAGATTGAACTTTAAAATAGTTTTAGACGCTAGCATAGAGAAGCTTAAAACATAATGCAGTGTAACATAATAAATGTTCTTTCCTAAAGGCTATTCAGAATCATTTTAACAGTACTCTTCTAAAAACTATTCATAACAATTAAACAATACTTTATAAAGATTATTTATCACCATTAAAGAGTGATTCCAAAAGGTTATTTATCACCATTATAGAGTGCTTCCAAAAGGCTATTCGTAACCATTAAACAGTACTTTCTAAAGGCTATTTATAACCATTAAACATTACTTTCTAAAGGCTATTTATAACCATTAAACATTACTTTCTAAAGGCTATTTATAACCATTAAACAATAATTTGTAAAGGCTTCTCATAAGTATTAAATTGTACTTTCTAAAGGCTATTCATAACCATTACAGTACTTTCTGAAGGCTATTCTTAAGCACAAAACAGTACCTTCTAACCGCTATTTACAACTATTAAACGGGACTTTCTAAAGGCTATTCCTAAGTATTAAACAGTACTTCCTGCTATACTATACATAATAAATCAGACAACGAACACTGAAGACTAAATACTTAATGTTCACCCAGGTAACAACGAGGCGCTAATCACATGATCCTAGAACATGGTCACCCAGAGAGCTTACAAGTCAACACTATGAGAGCGGCCCAAATCTGACCAACGACCCTACGAGGCAACTCTAATCTCTGACTGGCTAGCCACAACTGCCGCCTTTTCACTTATTAATCACCCCCGATAATTAATGCAGAACTGAGGATCAACTACAGGACACGTAGCCAATCAATGAGGTGAGATCCATCATAGATGAGGTATCTCACAGACGAGGTAATACTCGCAGGATCAAATCTGAATTTCCCCGGGTGTAATGATAAGAGCAGAGAGAGAAAAAAAAAACTGAAATGAAAATAGAGAAACACGTTTAAGATGAGGAGGGGAGGGGTATGAAATTAATTAAAAACAAACAGCAATGTCCAACACGTTCAGGCGCTATTTTCTAGAGAAATTATTTCCTCTCCTGACTGTAAAGAGGGGGGAAATCGATCAATATTTTCAATCGTTTAAAATTAAAAAGTGTAGTTGAATATCCCCGATCCATATAATATTCTATTGACAAACTTCTTTCCTAGGGTGATTTTTTTTTCTTCTCCCGGCAACCCTTGTATTAAATATTTAATGTCCACAAGTATGTTCCTAGTCTGAAACATATACC